CCTGACCTCTTCCTACAGAGAAACTAATGCTCTATTTTTTTAATGAGAAGTTAAAAACTAGTCACTGAAACCTATCTGAGAAAACATACAGCTCAGGTGCTGCTACCAGGGCTAGTGACCAGGGATCTTTGTCTCTTAAAGGACGTTGAAAATACAACAATCACTGTCTGGATGCACAGGCCTCGCCGCATAACAGCGGATAACTTTAAGAAACACACCAAGTATCCTGGAAGTCTCCTCACGTAATCTATCATCATTCATCTATCAAATTCCACCTCCAAGGACTAGAGCTGGAAGTAAGCTTTCATGCTTCTTCTGAGCCCGGGGCGGGGAATCTCCCAGAAAGTCAAAGTCCAGAGCAAGACGAGCTGAAATACAGATGAGTTTTCAGAGCACCTCGACACCTGGCTGGGAGATGTGACATTCATTAGTAGGGGTACATGGGCAGGGGAAGAGATTTAATTGCACATTTCCAAGCAGATGTGATCTAAAAAGATTTAAGCGAAGTTACATTTTCTGAACAGTTGTGGCAAAACCTGTATAAACCCCAGACGTTTGCTCAGTCATAAACTGCTTATTAAGACACAATTTTAGTTGTCAGAAGTGCCTAACTGTATTGCCTAATCCAATCGGGTGTGACAACGATAAAGCAATATAATAGCTAGACCTGAGCCACAAAAATATCCCTTAGGCCCAGAGTTCTCCTACTAAAAGATGCTCATTGAAAAGTCTAACTGGATGCAGTGGAAATTTGTTCTAACATGAATATTGGAAAATATGTAGGAAAAATGTTTGGGCACAGCAACTGCAATCTCAGGTGCACACACTACTCTGACATTGAGTAACAAATAAAAGAATTGCTTATAAAATTGCCTTTACTGCATTTTTGCTACACAATGAAGCGTTTGCACATTAAGTAACATTCTTCTGATTATCAGAAAAAGCTTTTTACAGAGCTTGCTTGACTGTGCTGAAGCTCTTTTTTTTCTCTCCTACCCTCCTAAATGGATTTAAAAGCAATTCTTGGTAGGGCGCTAGTGAACACATTGGATGGTCCCTCGTATTACAGTGGTATAACCCAGATGGCCCGTCCAATAACAACAAAAATCAATTATGAAAATTTCCTCTCTGTTAAATTACCACCAAAAATTCTTGGTAGTAGTAAAGCACGTTGCTGTGTTTATCTATACCAGCAAGAGAACTAGCCCCTAAATGTTTATATGATGTTTCTGTCAGACACAAGATGACAAAGGCTATTGCAAACACCCCAGAATCTGGGAATACATTTTGCTCCCCTTAGACAGAAGGGCACTCAGTGCAAATCTGTGAGCCTTACTACAGTCACAGTTTTCAACTGTCTCCTTTCTGAAACTTTTACCTCAGGTGCGTGATAAATAAGGTTTTAAAGTTACAGATGCCAGTCATGTATTTTGCAGATTCAGCTGTGTCTTTTCTCCCTCCGAATTTAGTGAGAAACTGACTGACAGAATTCTAATACCAGCATATATACTACTTTCCTGTTCTGTTACTGGGTTTTATGATTTGATACAAAGACAAACAAACCAACTCCATCCAAGGCGCTCCAGTGGCAATGGTGGTCACCTTCCAGTATTTTGCAGAAGGTCAAAAGGAGCCATATTCTTTTGACAGAGAATTTACAGGAAATTCTACCGGGAAGTTAAAGTGAATGTCAGTATTTAATTCAGATCCTGCATGCTCTAATACGAAGAGGCTTTAATTCTTGTAAAAATAAATACATTAATAAACAGAAACTCATGACATAGAAGCCAAGAGCAGCAAATAAGGTAGCGGTGTCCTTTGGTGGAGTCTCACCATCCCAGGGGAAATCCCTCTTGGCCTACAGAGATGTAACACAGGGTAAGTAGACCAAGTCACAGCTGGATATAAAATGAAATCTCATTTCTATTACATGCAACTCCTGCAAAATATGTGCCAATCCTTTTCAAACCTATTTCCCAAAGCTTCTTACTACTAATGCCAAAGAAAAATGGACGGCATGTATATATCCCATACAATATGCATACACACACACAGAGTAGATTAAATCTTTTTCCTTCCAGCCAGTTATACTGTAATTCAGTTACTGCAGCAAGCTGCAGGATACCACTGCACTGCAAGCATTGTTCAACAAGTTATATTACGATTTCGATTTCCAAGAGGAAGGGTGGTGACCTACGAAGTTGTAAAGGAAACCACTCACAAGCTTATTTCAATACCCTTGCTAAAAACAGCCCCCTGGAATTATAAGAGTCTCTTCCTCATCCTGCTCAGAACAATTGGAAAATTACAGACCGTTCAAAATACATTAATTTCATAGACTAAAAAAATAAGATGTATGGAGACCAAAAAATAACAGCTCCCGCTCATGGAATTGCACTGCTCATTTCTCCGATTTCTCTGGTAGCT